CCGACCTGCTTCTATTTCACCCTTCTCCCTCGTTCCCTTAGCTTCGCCCTGTGAAATCCCTCGAAATCCTTGTCCCCCTCCTTTCGGTAAAGACCCAATCGTCTTCCTATCACACTCGCGATTCTAAAACGTTCGTCTACATTCTACACGTACGTTTTTCTGAAATACGGAGTTTCCAGAGGCGGTTTCAACGGCGGTGGCAATAAAGTTTGCTTTATTTTTACTACCCCTCTGGCCAAGTACCACCCCGTATTTCCTCGGGATATTGACATATCGGGGCTGCCTGAGCTTCTTCTCTTAACGCCCTTTTTTACACTGCCACGGAATTTATGTCTTCTTCTTCCTCCGCGACCGTCCAACCCCCCAATTCTACCCTTCTTCTCCTACCTCTGCCCCAGTCTACGTCCCATTTGCTTCTTCGTCGTCGATTTACCTACAGTTAGGGACCTCCGCCTGTCTTCGTTCGATCCTCGTGTTGTTCAAGACTCGTTGTCTTCCTCGTTTTCTCCATCGGTCCTCTTCCTCCTCCTCGTTCTCTCCCTCGTCGATTCCGACGAAAAGGAGGAAGACAATCAATCACTCGCACGTATTCCCGCGTTTGCAGAATCAACCCGGAAATCTCTATTAGACGTCGAATAGACCGGGATTTTTCTACTTGGCTACTCACGATCGATGGATCGACGTCCACGGGAACGAGATTACTTGTCGTTCCCGATGAATGCAGCGTATGGTCCCCGTTGATGAGATACGGCGGTGTTTAACGCGCTGTTAATAGAATTTGAAATGTTTTACGAGACGTTTGCATCTGGTGATCGATGGAAAATCGGGAATGAAATGGGTTAATTGTCAAATCAGGTGGCCGAATTTTATATGAAAATCCGTAAAAATATTAATGATATTAGCGATAATATTAATGATAACAGCGTATCGACTATGAGTTTTTGTTAGAAATAACGAGAGACTGTAGACTTTGTATTCGGTAGGATTTCAATCCAAATGATCACTGCATTCTATTCAAGTGATACTGTTTTTTTTTTTTTTAATCCACTTTCACTGATTATGAAAGCGTTATTTTTCTGTGAAAAAATATTCATCGAATGAACAGGTAACATTACATAGCTTTATGATCTATAGAATGTTTTCGTTGTTATTCTTTTCGGAATTATTTTATTATTCTCCTATTTAGTGGTAAAAAAATAATAGAAACCGTAGCAGCGAGCTAAAACTTCCAACGTCGGTCGTCGTTTCCATTTCATTAACAATTCCCATTTTATTATCAAACGGTAGTTACCAACATTTTTACACAAATTCAAAACCATTAGCAGCAACTCTTTCTGTTCGATGTTGTACTCGCAACGAAACTCACACTTGCGAAACTCGTCAGGCAACGGCCAGTGATCTTGATGGAATGACAGTTTATTAATTGTCGCGAGGTCGAGGTCCAGCTGTGAAAATTGCAACAAAAGAACAGAGAGAAAGAAAGAAAGAAAGAGAGAGAGAGCGAGGCGAACGTGTTCGAGGCAGCAAAAACAATGAGCAATCGTTCGTCCAGGGGCTTATATTCTTCCTGGTGTTCCGTTTTTCGCCGGCTTTGTATTTATCGGTGTCCTGGGACGCGACAGCGTAAGAGTGACTCAAAATAAGAAAAAAAGAGAGAGAGAGAAAGAGAAAAACGAAGGAAAATCCAAGCGCAAAGGCAGTCGTCGGTGATTGGTGGAAAAAGGGACTGGTGGACAGGGACGTTCGCGGGGGGGAAAAAACGTAATACCACGATCGGAATGTTGGGCAGAAAACGGATCGAACGAGCGAGACAAAGGGAACTCCCGACAAAATCGTTTGAACTGCAATTGCAATTGGGGTGCAAAAAAGGGTGGGAAGGAGGAACGCAGGAAACACCACGTGTCCCGTCACTTAGCGAAAGGAATTACATTCTCTAGGTGGTCCGACGATTGTCCGGATTGCCTTGGTACACCGGAAGCCACGGTAAAATAAATAGGTTCGATGCTGTCATCGAACGCCACAGGTGTATTAACGAGAACTCGGCTTTGAAGCAACCATTTTAACTCCCGTTTGTTCGACTGTCGTGAATATTATATTCGGGATATATTGTGCCGATAACCGGGTTAATTGATCTTGGTTACAGTGAAATATCTTGCATTTTATTTGTAATATTTTCGTTTCGCCAACAGTTTATCGGCGGTAAACGTGGCATATCGATTCAGTTTTCTATTTTTAGCGAATGAAATTAATTAATAAAGGGACAGGCAAACGAAATTTCTGGATTCTTGACAAATCGTCTATAGCTGTCTAGAAAATAACGTTAATTTACAACTTGTTAAATACAACTCGACTTACTAGATCTAGTACTCTTTGACGATTATAGAAGAATGTCGATGATTGTTGACCATTTTCCAAGTTCTCAAACAGCCTGTTTCCTCAAAGGTATAGCTTTTGGGATTATACTCATTCAATAAGACAACTACCGAGCTTCAATCTTTAAATTCGACAGTTTTTAAATCATCGTGTAAGAAATATTGTTTAACGACTTCAATCAGAAGATATTGATTTATCACTTCGTACACGACGAATCTGATACGTAACGTTACACGGTAAGACCTACCATTGAGAAATACTGACTTCTTAGCAGCCAAGATGCCAAGACGGAAGCTCGCTCGTGAAACAAGTGCGCCGCGTTTACCATTTCTTAATTGCGTGCCTTTGCAACGAGATACACTTTGCTCTCTGTCGTTACAAAATCCCTCGTTCCTCTAACCTTTCTCGCGTCTGGTTCCAGGTCAAGTGGACCTTTGGACACAAACGACGAACGGCTGCGCGTGCAGTTTTAATTCGTCCAGCAACGAATGCGCGTGCTGCGTGCCATCCGGAGGATGTAGCTGCGGGGCTGCGTCGCCGGACAGATGCGCTCAGTGCGGCCTGGAGCAATACTGCGCCAACAGTAAGTAATGTCGTTGCCTCATGACCATTAGTCTCGATATCGCCTTTCGTACGCTCATGCTTCAAGATGAAGAGATTCGTTCGCCAGAGGCTTGAAGAATGACTCGAGAATTTAGACCTTTTGATTACAAACGAAGTTTAGGTCTCGTTGTATCGTATTGTATTAGCTGTTTTTGATACGAGAAAAATTGAAGACGACAGTGTCAAACTATCTTTTCATATTTAATATCTTGCGATATGAATAGCTTTGTCAATTTTAATGAAATTTAAGCTCACTCAAATGGACAAGCTATATTATGCAAATTATGAAGCATAAAATTACAAACATTAAATTTCCAATCAGAGACGTTGAAGTGAAAATGACAGAAAATCTTTACAAATACTTATATAATAGGATGCACAAGCTTTTATCTGTAATATACCTAACAAAAATATTCAAATGTCCATTTCGGCCATTTTTCTATGGTAGTTCTAGTGTTGCTGTAATGCAATAGTATAACATGTTCTGAAAAATTGATTTATTTACTAACAGCGTTATATACAACCATATATTATACAAATTAATGGAACGTAATAAAACGTAATAATTCTGAAGAATGAGTTTATTTGAGAAATTGGATTTCTCGATCAATTCTAAAGACAGAGCAGACTTCCTTCGCGTCTACTCGGTCGTTCGAACACGGTCCGCCGAACCGTCGAAGTACGGAGGAAACGAGATTTCCAGTGGGGGTTGGGATATTCGCACGCGTCCTAAAACTGTGACATCCAATTAAACCCCGTCGATATTAAATTCGTTAGAGGTGCAACCGGCAGCTCGCAACACCACTGCCGTTTTCCCTTCTGATCGTCAGACTCGCGTATATTTACTTCCTTCCCTCCCCCCCCC